TTACTTGAAAGTATCATAACTGGACTATCATATGATATTTCTCAACATATCACAGATATGCATGCAAACAATCCAAGACAATCATATAAAAGTGGACGATAGCATAATGATTATTCAAAAAAGACATAACGATAAAAATAATCGATATCCATCGGGATATTATAAAGTTATCATTATTGATACATAGATCTAGAAACACATCCATTAGAGATATAATAAAATTTATCATATAATTGATACCAATATTAAGTACTAATATCCACAAGCATCAACAAAAAATTTTTGGTGTGCGATATACTTGGTGAGATCCTTATCGATACCTATAACAGTATCACAGTATCCCTCCCCGCCACAACGCGTCACTTATTCAACGCAACCACAAGCCCTTTAGGTGTCCAAGTTTTTTCGGGGTGACGGTGACGTTCGGTCGTAACAGCAACACAGGGGACCCTCTGTGGAAGGTGGGGTCTTAACCGAGGACACCCTAACGGGTGTCATAAACCCATACATTTCAGCGAAACCTATCTCCTTTTTGTAAGATTGTTGCACTGTACATTACATTTATTCACCTTACCGTATAAATAAATGATAATCACAAACATTTTCAAAAGATATCATAAAAAAAAACAGGAGGTGCGAACAGCAGACAGTAGCTAGAAGTTTTCGAAAGATACAGCCCACTCAAAAATATATTGTTTTATATAAAATTAATTAATATATATAAATACATTATATATATATTAGCTGTACACTTTACGAATATAATAGTTTTTTATGGTAAAATTCAATCTCGTCCAACTGATTTTCTGCTGTCACTCCTCGGCTCTTGGTAGTTCAGGCATTTATCAAACCTGGCAACTCCGAGCTTCCTGGCAGCTGTCAATCAAAGTCCAGTGGCTCCGCCCCATAGTGTCAGAAAATGTTCACGCGCGCGCAGACAGATTCTGCGAGCGAGTGAGGCTGACACTCCCGCGAGCGAGCAAGAGGGCTGTCTCCCGCTCGCGGGGGTTTAATCTGTGCGCGAGGGTCATTTCATGCGCGTTTAAAAGCACATTTTCTGCTTGTGAGTAGCTTGTTTTGCTCGAAACACTCGGTTGTTGTTGTTGGCGAAACACATCCTCAATGACGCGGGTGACACGGGGGTGAGGGGAGAGGCGGGGTTATGGCGTATAGCGCGTACACACCGAGCCGTTTGACCCCCCAGAGCATTCCGTCCGCAGATCTACCCACCTTGGGACCCGTTATCATTTTAGGGGGCCGTTTCCGCGGCTCCGTTACGGTAGAAAAAAGTAGCAGATGCAACCCGAACCGTCTCCATGTAAACGGGGCCTTTGTCTCATTCAGCCACATTTAGCAACCACCATTTTTATGACACATAGAATCTACGGACATTCAAAGTGGGGTATTTACTAATATTTTTTATTTCGTGGCGCAAAATGTGAAAATCTCCTCGGCTTGTGTTAACCACAGACTTCATTTTAGTCACTAACCAAAAACGCATTACACTTTTTTGGGAATTTGAGATGAGGGAAACTGAAGTTGTAAAATATTAACTCATTTCCAGGTTTAGGACTCACTCCTCAATATGTTTACTGTTTCTTTGGCAGGCTCCATCTCAGAGTGCACCACGACGATAAGCGCTATGAGTGTGACGAATGTGGGAAAACCTTCATACGCCACGATCACCTGACCAAACATCAGAAAATACACTCTGGTAAAAAAAAAAAAGTTTCTCTTTGCATTTCAGTACCATGGGATATACTTTTTACTCTTCCCCGTCTCCAGTCAGCAGTGACTTTAATTTGAGCAATGTTCATTACAGGTGAGAAGGCCCACCAATGTGAAGAATGTGGAAAGTGCTTCAGACGCCATGATCACCTGACGGTCCACTACAAAAGTATTCATTTGGGGGAGAAAGTCTGGCAGAAGTATGTCATCTTACAAATCACATTCAGACTCGTTCTTTTTTTAGGTGTTGATGTAACATTTCTTATATTGTATCTTATAATGTCATCTTTGTCCACAGATATAAAACGGCTGTGCATCAGTGTGAGGTTTGCAAGAAAGAATTCAAAGGAAAGTCCAGTCTAGAAATGCACTTCAGGACACACTCAGGTAAGGAAACCAAGAGGGTCATCGATATATCAGCTTAAAAACCCAATATGAGAGCAGAACAATGGCATTTGGATGCATTTACCCAGAGGTGGGAGAAGTTCTCAGATCTTGTACTTAGTAAAAGTAGAAGTACCAGAGTGTAGGAATACTCTGTTACAGTAAAAGTCCTGCAATCAAAATGTTGCTCAGTAAAAGTAGAAAAGTATTATCATCAAAATATAGTTAAAGTAGCGACAGTAAAAGTAGTCATTGTGCAGATTGGTCCATTTCAGAATAACATATATGATATGATTTATAATGATTGATCATGAAAGTGTTCTCAAAGCTGGTAAAGGTGCAGCTAGTTTGAATGACTTTGTATACTGCAGGGTAGCTTTTGGATTTACTCCAGGTGGAACTAAAGTCTGATTTAACACTTGATTATATTTCACATCATTCATCCAGATCTGTAAAGTGACTAAAGATATTAAATAAATGTAGTGTTTTAGTGGTGTAATATTAATGCTGTAGCATCACTTGTTGGGGATATCGTTCTTTAAAAAATGTTTACTGACAACACGCTAACGTATTGCTATCGCTAACAATATGAGATGCTCTGTTTCAACAATGTTAGGCTGAAAAAGAAGCATTCCCACTGAAATGGATTGTGCTGATCTTTGAGGGGGTGCAGTGATTCTTACCAAGTTAAACTAGAAAAGCTATAAATGTTTGCTAGCTGCTAGCTTGATGACATTTAATGCAAAACGTGTTCTGGTGCAGCACAGCATTAGCCTGATCTCAGGTCATTTACGCCTCATTTTCACCAACACATTTTCTTTGGTTCCTAATGTACACTGATGAAAAATCTATATTGTGAGATTACAAAAAAAATGTGCTACCCCACACTGAGATGCTTAGGAAGACAAATGTGTTTTCTCATTGCACATTCACTAAGCCCTGCACCACTTAGTTACTGTGGCTACACTCTAGTCAAAACATGAAGTTATCATATTGGTAGAGTTACTGATCAAAGTTCATTGCGATTTGAAAAAAAGAAATTGTCTTTGATTTAATACAGGAAAAGAATTGTGTTTTAATTACTAGCTACATACATGATATTGTGCTAATATACTGAAGCTTAAGGTTGCTTAAAAGTTGTGTTACTAGTTGATTATTTAATTAGTATATATGTAAATAAGGAAGAGAAATGTTTATGAATTGCAGGATAGAAATGGCTATGAAAATACATTTGTTCAATGTCCTCTTGTGTTCATGTGACAGGAGAGAAACCCCACAGATGTCCCGAGTGCAACCAGACATTTCGTATAAAGAAGACCCTGACGAAGCACATGGTGATCCACTCTGACGCTCGTCCCTTTAACTGCCCCCAATGCAGCGCCACCTTTAAAAGAAAAGACAAGCTCAAGTACCACGTCGACCACGTGCACAGCGTTCGCTTCTCTGAGCAGCCCCTCGGCACGGACAAAATGATCTCCCTTCCTTTTGAGGAGTCCTCTAAGGGATACCACGCCGAACCCAAGCCAGTCCTCCAGAGCCCGCCTCGTCCTGCTAACGTCTGCGTACCCGTCACTTTGGTTCCTGTGCGGGTGGCGGGAGGAGCACAGGATCCCACCACTCTCTCCTCCCAAACTCACAGTGTTGTGAGCATGCAGGGGCAGCAGCAGAACTCAAGCTACCAGGCTGCTACAGATCTGGCTTTCTTGGAAAAGTACACCCTCACTCCGCAGCCGGCCAACGTCGTGAGGGCCGATCAGATGCTGGACCCCCGGGAGCAGTCCTACCTCGGCACCCTGCTGGGACTGGACTCTGCTTCCTCTGTGCAGAACATCTCCAACTCTGATCATTCACACTGACAGACTAAAACTGGACCTTTAACGCACAAACTTTAATTTAATAAGAACTGAAGCTACAGTATTCACCACTGAAATACAGACGGCATTAATTCTTCGTCCATTTAAATTAATTACACTTATAACACAAAGTATTCTGGTGAAGCACAGGATAGCCTGATCTCAGGTAATTTCTGCCTCTCAAAATAAATGTATTTGTGTGAGCTGTACAAAAAGAAGAGAAATTCATAAGTTGTAATTGTCTTTGTTGTTGTTTCTATTAAGTGAAATTATGACAAATCTCATCGCAACTCTATAAAACTGAAGAACAGTTGTAGTAAATGTTTTTGTACCAGTTATTATGAGATGACAACAAACTTTAAATGTTACAAATACCAAGGCTTGCCCCTTTCTTCAGGGTGTAAAATTACATTTCTGTTTTAAAAGCTGGTGGATTTCTTTGGTCTCACAGAATAACCTGCCTTTTTAAGGATTTACCATTTTTCATGGTATTCATGTTTTTTTTTTAAGGAATCTGTTGATTGGCGGACCAGTAATTGATGACAATTTCTGATTAACTAATGTGTAGTAAAGCAAAGGTTTCACTCATACAACGTTCATATGAGATTAGAGGTTGATGAATTTGCAAGATAAAAACTTTAAAGTGAAATCAGTAATGACATTACAAGTGGTCAATTGTGTATTTGAGTGCTTTGACAGTTACATTAATTGTTGGTTAAGTTTCAAACCATTCAAACTCACATTCTAAAACAGTGGGGGTGCTCCCCTCAAACTTTGTCATGATCAATAAAATCTATTTGAAAATATAAATGTTTGTTTAACTGGGCCGGGCCCACATCAGCCTCGCGCATCATTAGTAATATACATAAATAGCCAACTATGTATTTGATCTTATGCTATATTTATAATATCTTTACAAAAATGCATTTAAAAAGCTTGCTCTGCTCATAGAAAGCGTGCTGCTTACAAAATCAAACGCAGCATAAAGCCTATGCTTTGCTATTGTTGGTTGGCTTGGTGAAGGTTGCTCTCAGTATGTTAAAAAATAATGGAAAAAGTCATACTACTATGTCGAAAAAATCATGAAAAAAAGTGAGTATAGTATGTCGGAAGTCAAAGTATAGTATTTATTTCAATATGAAAATAAAATAGTTTGTCAATACTTTTATGAAAAAAGTATAATAATGTGGTGAAAAAAGGAAAATGTTATAGTATGTCATAAAATCATAATAAATCATTTTGGAAATATCATGAAAAGATCTAAATTATAGTACTTAAAAAACAGTATGAAAATAATCGTAGTTTAATATGTCAAAATGTAATTAAAAAAGTCATGGTATGGTATGTCGGAAAATCCTAACAAAACTTAGTATAGGTTGAACATTTTTTTTTAAAGTATGTCAAGAGGTTCATTAAAAAACGATACATAGTATATTGATCAAAGACAATATGAAAAATGGCCACAGTGTAGTTAGTACGTTGGAATAAACGTTATTGTATTGAATGTTGAAAAATATGACGAACAAGTTATGTCAAAAATAGAATTTAAAAAATCATATTATAGTATCTCTAAAAATGTAATAGTAAACTCATTTTAAAACACTATGAAAAAAATAAATACATATACTGCATATGATTAAGATATATACATACAGACCTGTATTTAGTATATTATGTCGAAAAAGTTTCATAGTATTGTAGGTAAAAAAATCTAAATCTGAATCAGGTTTATTGCCAAGTAGTATAGTATCTTCATATCATATGTAGTTTAATAAAAAAGAAAAAAAAGTCATAGTACAGTATGTTGAAAATATCATGAAAAGTCAGATTATAGCATGACGAAACCTTGTAAAATATCAAAACTCGCACAGTATAATATCTTAAGATATCGTGAAAAAGTCATAGTTTAGCATGTTGTAAAAATCGATAGTATATACGGTGGCCGGCAGGTGCAAATGTGGAACAACGGCCCAAAACGCATACATTAGCAGGAAACACGTGCAAATAATGAAATGAAAAACAAACAAACCCTGAAAACAAATACCAATACAAATATCATTG